TTTTGTGGAGATTTTAGTAATATTATATAGTTGAGATCATGAGTCAAGTTTGCCATGGTGGTATGGCTTCAATTGACTCATGATCTCAACTATATAGAATGATTGTGAATTGTTTCAATAGATGTACAAGGGAGGAAATTTTCCTAGTGAGAACTCGTAAATATGTGCGCACACACACGGGTGTCTGGCATAATATTGTGTATTATTGACTGACATAAGCTAATTTTAATAGTTGAGATAATGAGTCAATCGAGGCTAGACTACCATGTAAAATATGGATGCACTGGATGACCGTTTCGTCTTATTTTGGGACTCCTCAGCAGTGTGCATGACAATAATACCGCTGGTTGCCGGCCGGCTCAGTGGTCTAGAGTTTAAGCGCTCCCGCGCGAAACTGATTTGTCCTGGGTTTGAATCTTGTGAGGCGGGATTGTGGATGCGCACTGCCAAGGAGTCCCACGATAGGACGAAAGGGCCTTCCAGTACTTCCAGGTTTTCCATTGTTATCTAGCTTCAACTGATTTATGATCTGAACTATTGAAATTACTATGATATCCACAAAAACCCTTTCTGATATTGATATAAGCAAAGTTCAGAAGCGAAGTTAATGAAACTATAATTTATAGACAAATTATTGAAATCTAAGGTAATAGGTCTGAGACTTTGGCATGAAATTCAGTTATCCATTTGATTAAATAGCGTTTTGACATTTTACCTGATATTAGTTTATAATGGAAATCATAAATTTAATGCTTAATTTTAACTATCAAATATAGATATTCTTAAGGTTACTACTTTAGCGTCATTCAAAGGTCATCCCAAGATTGTAGTCTTACCATAAAGACTTCTATAATCTTTAAGAAAAACAATGTTTCTCTTATTATTTCATTTAGAACAGACAGGTATATTGTTATTTTGAATTATAACAAAAGTAGTATAATGGTAATGTTTTAGGTTGTGAAACTAGGTAATATGAAATTGAATTGATCAAGGAACATCAAATCACTTAATTATTATATGTATATCTTGATGTTAAGTATCAAATTACATAAAATCTAGGTCTATAGTTTTCCATCAACTCATTCTAAATAATTTTCAATAATAGAGATCATGAATCAAATGAAGTTAGACCACTATGGAAAACCTGGAAGCACTGGAGTTCTAATGAGAACCAGTGACCAGTGGGGTTCAACTAAGTCTGTTGTGAGCGAGTAACTCACTAAAGACATTGGTGTATGTATTGCTCAATTTCGTGGATCGGTTGAAGTTAGACATTAGCATCGTTAGATGCCGGCTCAGTGGTTTAGAGGTTAAGCGTTTACACGCGAAACTGATATGTCCTGGGTTTGAGTCTCGCTAGGCGAGATCGTGGATGCGCACTGCTAAGGATTCCCACAATAGGACGAAACTGTCTTTCAGTGCTTTCAAGTTTTCCATAGTGATTTAGCTTCAATTGATTCATGATCTCAACTATTAAAATTACTATAATATCCACAGCACCCCTTTGTGATAATAATTCTAACTACCTCATATAGACGTACGCTCTTGTATAGTTATTCGAAGAAATTAACAAAATACAATGAACTTAATAAATAAATGGTTTATAATCAATGGTGGATAGTGGCTAGCAGTGGAATCCTGGACGCGCCTTTCGTCCTATCTGGGACTCATCAGGTAAATGTACCTGCATCTCAGAGTTGATGTTCACTCTGGAACTCGGAACTCAGTACCTTTCGCTTCAAACGCCATCGCGTCACCCGCTCAGCTACTGAGTCCTGATAGCCATCAATGGGAAGATTCGAACAAACAGTACTAAGTGAATCTAAATATATGGTTTGTTTCGAAAATACACTGAGTTACTAAGAGCACTGATCGACTGTGGAAAAAAAACTTAAAAAATGATTTATTTTTTTAAAGTTTTAGCCTAAATGATCAATGATGAAACGACTATGTATTTGATTCTAAAGAACAATATAATCAAAAGGCGAATGAATAGTTTGACATCAGGCATGAAATCTTAGTCAAAATAAGATCGTGTTGAGTATTTAAAGCCAAACTGTCCTTGTTCTGAGTATATAGCTTCAAACATAGACTCTCTAGTTGCCAGTATCGCCTTTACAATTGTATCAACTGAGTTTATGTGAAAGCTATAGACTCAGAACAAGAACAAGTTCGCTTTAAACTTTATCTATTTCTGAGCGTAAAAGTAACAAGTTGTTGCTACGTTGCATAATATATAAAAGGAGAAGAAAGAACTAACAAAATATTTTAATGAATGGTCAGTAATATAGTAGTTATGTAAGAATACAAAAATACAAAAATGGAAGGAATATGATAATAGTTTACCCAAATTCTGCTACAGACTCCGCTATATCGATTGATGGGTAGCGAGAGTGGTTGAACAAACTTCTTTTAGATAAAAAGGTTCGGTTTGTGAACATGGATTGCTATGGCTTCAGCTATGTGCAAAAGACGAACTCGTAAACTATAACAATTCGATTAGTATAATAATTAAAGGCATGAACATAGTAACCAGTATTACATGTCTTATTGAAAAAATGAATAAAAAATTATGAGTCACAGTTACATAATAGGATAGTAACGTCCTTCAAAATTAGAGCAGGTTACAAATACACAATAGGGATAGTAGTCTATAGACATATCAGATTAGATTGTCGTTGGTAAATGTTTAAGCAATGATTTGATTGGTTAGTTATGAAAATAAATAACACCAACATTGTAGGAGTATAAGGACAATGAAAATAAGACCATTTAAATCAATGGTAGTTTGTAAAGTAAAAAATAAAAAATACTTTTTAAAGGAAATCGCCTTTTCATAATAAAACGATTCGTAGTCAATATCAATAACAATGTGTAAGCTTTTATAGTTAATAATCATTATCATATTTTTTTTTGATCGAGATAATGAACCGATTGATGTTAGACTATCATTGAAATCCTGGAAGTACTGAATGGTCGTTTCGTCCTATTGTGGGACTCATCGGTAATGTGCACCCATGACCTTGCTTATGGGATTTGAATCCAAGGCCTTTGGTCTCACGCGCGAACACTTAATCTTTAGACTACTGAGCCGGAATCTAACGGTGTCTAACTTCAACTAATCCATGAAATCGCGCGACCATCTTCTATTGTACTGAGGTAGATACCTGTCTCTACCCGATGTGAATCAACTCCACTGGTCACGGCTTTCCACTAGAATTCCAAGAATTACCACATGGAGTTAGTCACTAGTGAGTACATGATTCCAATCAAAAACTTGATAATCTCAGCAACCCTGAACTGATGATTATCATATACGTTAAATATATAGACAGTCATACCTTTTTCAAACATAATTAAAAGTCATTTTCAACTTGACGGCTTACATCAAAAATCAACCCGAGTTAAGCAACCATTGGAAACTAGTAAGTACTAGACAGTTGTTATTGTCAACCACAGATAAGGTTTAAAAATGTAGACCATGAAATGTTGATTCAGTAGTTTAAAAGTTAAGTGTTCTAAAAATTACTTAAATATCCTGGCTCACATCCTTGACAATTTCGTGTGTATGCATCGATGGGAGAAACCAACCAAGGATGAGACGTATTCTCTAGTGTTTTAAAGTTTTTTTTAGTAATTTTCTAACAAAAATCATTTCTTGATGTTAACCCGTCAGAGTTCGATCATCCAGAGACACCATATACATTAATACTTACTTACATACTTACTTACACCTATTGCTCCCAATGGAGCATAGGCCGATGACCAGCATTCTACAACCACCTCTGTCATGGACCTTCCGTTCTACTTCTATTCAATCGCTGTTCATTCTTCCCATGTCTGTTCCCATTTCTCGACATAATATGTTCTTTGGTCTTCCTCTTCTACCTTGACATTCAGGATCCAATGTGAGGGCTTATCTAGCAACGCAGTTGGGTGGTTTCCTCAATGTGTGTCCTATCCACTTCCAGCCCTTCTTCTTGATTTGCTCCTCTGATAGAATCTGGTTTGTTCTCTACTACGGTAGATTGTTGCTCATAGTGCCTAGCCAACGGATACTAAGTATTTTGTGTAAACAAATGTTAACAAACACCTGTTTCTTCTGGATGATGGTTTTCGTAATTCTCCAGGTCTCCATCACATACAGTAGAACTGTCTTGACGTTTGTATTGAAAATTCTGACTTTGATGTTGGTTGACAGTTGTTTTGAGTTCCATATGTTCTTCAATTGTAGATATGCTGCTCTTGCTTTGCTGATTCGTGCCTTCACATCTGAATCAGATCCACCGTGTTCATCAATAATGCTGCCCAAATATGCAAAGATTTTTACATTCTTCAAAGCTTCTCCGTCAATTGTGATTCGATTGGTGCATGGTGTGTAGTATCGGAGAATCTCGCTTTTCCCTTTGTGTATATTGCAACCTACTGCTGCTGAGGCTGCTCCTACACTATTCGTCTTCTCCTGCATTTGTTGTTGGGTGTGTTATAGAAGAGCCGGATCATCTTCGAAGTCTAAATCGTCTAGGTGCATCCTAGCCGTTCACTGCATCCTGTACATCCATCCAGATGTAGACGTCTTCAAAATCCTGTCGATCATCAGGAGAAAGAGAAAGTGTGAGAGTAAGCAACCTTACCGGACATCGGTTTTTATTTCGAACGACTCGGTGAGCTGTCCTCCACGCACGATTTCGCAGTTTAATCCATCATGGGAATTCCGCGTGATATTGACTATCTTCTCAGGCACGCCGTAGCGTCGAAGAAGCTTTCATAGTGTTGTCTTGTTCACTTCTTGTTCACTGCTTTCTCGTAGTCAATGAAGTTGATGTTGAGTGATGAATTCCATTCAACTAATCGTTCCACAATGATCCGTATTGTTTCATACATCAATAATAGTAACTTATTATTATTATTATTTGATGAACTTCTTGTTAATAATCTGATTATTTGCATATTTTCATTTCCACAAAATTCTAGAATCATTCTGTGCAAGTAAATCAATAATGATGTGGAATAAACTTATTTGGATTAAAATGATTTTGGTCTGTGCAATCGATTTTCAGACTTTCATGTACCAAGTCAAATCGGATAGTACAACGGAAGCAGGTAATCTCTAATTTCTTATTTTTAAAAATAGTGAATGAAATAAATTACATTACTCACCTTACAACGAATTTGTTAATGATGTGTTTTCGTGGAAATGCTAGTTCCAAGATGTAACTTCTGAAGTTTTGGGAAGAAGCTGCGCCTCAATGGACGCAGGAAAAGTACACTAAAAAGACCCATTAGGATTGAACTGGAGGACGAGAAAGAAAATTGCGAAAAAGCAACGGCTGTAGGCAACACCAGGCAACTATTCAGACTAATAAAAGAAACCGGAATTAAGAAGTCAAGTGTAAGTGAGACAATCTCCGAAAAAGACGGAACCCTTATCTGCTCTCAACCCAGATGTTTAGAACGATGAGCGGAACACTTTAAGGAGCAGTTTAGCTGGCCTTCAGCTACTGCACAACTACCCACTATTCCTAGAAAACCTGAATGGAACATTGAAGTAGGCCTTTCGACCCTACTTGAAATTCAAAAGACTATAATTAATCTGAAACGAGGAAGAGCAGCTGGTCCTGATGGATTGGCTCCAGAGGTCTTTAAATATGGTGGTCCGATTTTAGCGATTAGGTTGATTAATATTCTGGCTAAAATCTGGGAGACGGACGTAATCCCATCTGACTGGTCACAATCTCTGATTGTCCCAATATATAAGAAGGGGCCAAAATCATCCTGTGATAACCATAGAGGGATTAGTCTGACTAACATAGTATCTAAAATACTAGCCTCAATAATTATCGGGTGCCTAACTAAGACTCGTGAACTGCAAACCTGAGAAAATCAGGCTGGCTTCAGACCTGGTCGTGTCTGTATCGACCACATATTCACCATTCGTCAAGTTTTAGAGCACAGACATGTTTATCGCCGTCCGACGATGATAGTTTTTCTTCTCTTCAAAGCAGCATTTGACTCTGTACACCGAGGGGTTCTGTGGCAGTGTCTGTCATTGAAAGGTGTACCTCAAAAGTACATAAACCTTGTGAAGGCTCTTTACTCGAACACTACCAGTCGGGTGAGAACTTATGGCGAACTGTCATCTGATTTTACAACCTCAAGTGGTGTCCGTCAAGGCTATCCACTATCCCCATTTTTTTTTAACTTCATTATAGACCCGTTGCTGGAAATAACACTCTCGTCGACTGAATTTTCAGGAATTGATCTTCTACCAGGAGGTTCACTTATCGACTTAGAATACGCAGATGACATAGTCCTGTTTGGTGAAGAGGCTGACAAAATGCAGAGTCTTCTTTTGGGACTGAGTAATAATGCCAGGATGTTTGGGATGCGTTTCTCTCCATCCAAATGTAAATTTTTACTCCAGGACTGGCCTGCGTCAACATGTAAACTAAGGATAGGGAGTGAAGTAGTCGAACGCGTCGACAAATTCACTTATCTTGGAAGTCTGATCAGCCCTAATGGGTTGGTGTCTGACGAAATCTCTCCACTGATTCAAAAAGCTCGTTTGGCTTTTGCCAACTTACGTCACCTATGGCGAAGACGAGATATCCGTCTATCAATTAAGGGACGAGTATACTGCGCAGCAGTTTGCTCTGTTCTACTTTACAGCTGTGAAACATGGCCATTAAGAGTAGTAGATACTCGTAGGTTACTAGTATTTGATCACAGATGCCTTAGAAATATTGCTCGCATCTGCTGGGATAACCGGGTAAGTAATAGCGAGGTTAGACGCAGGGTATTAGGGAATGATGGTAAATCAGTTGATGAGGTGATGAATCTTCATCGACTGAGATGGTTGGGCCATGTGTTACGTATGCCTGAACACCGATTACCACGACTCGCTATGATGACTAGTGTAGGGGATTGTTGGAAGAGACTTAGGTGCAGCCAAACCAAAACATAGCATCAGTGTTTGAAGTCACTAACTTCTAGTCTGAGCCATGTTGGCAGATGCAGACTACCTGGTTGGGGTCCGCGTGACTATCGTAACCAATGGTTGGAGACTCTGTGTGACATGGCTCAGAATCGATCACAATGGCGTAGGTGTATACACTCTTTATCTTCCCTTAAACATTGAGACTAAAATTGCTTCATATCTCTCTTCCTTCCTGTACTATATCCTTATATACAACCTATAATTTATATACTACTACCACCACTTAATCAATTACTTTTATGAATCCAGTGTTGATCTTGTTGTGCTAACGAGGTATGGCAACTTGGACCGATGCATATATGTGCCTGGTCCTGTTGTAACTGACTGACTGACTGTGACAAGTGGAGTTAAATGTGTGTCAAATGTGAGAAAGCGAATTGATTGCAGCTAGACATTGTTATCGTTAGATGTCAGCTCAGCGGTCTAGGGGTTAAGGGTTCGCTCGCTGGTCGAAAGGATTAAAATTTCGAGTTCGTCATTCGTGACATCATTAACCCACTGCTGAGAATTCTTATACTAGTACGAAACGGCTGTCCAGTGCTTCATGTATCTCAATAGTTTTTACCCTGAATCAAATAGTGATTTGAACTGTGAACATAAAATTTTACCAACTTTAAAGGTTGTTACTTGACACCAGCAACTGTTGTTATTTCAAGAATATCTCGGTAGCTGTAACTTTTGAAATTATCTTAAAAACAGTTATATTTTTTGTTTTTACACTATGATTGTTAAATAGATGAACTGTTGTATTTCCATATACTCGTTGTTGTATGTTTGCGTTGGACCCTTTGACTATTACTATACGTTGATCCATTTCCTACCACTTTAAATTTGTTTTTGTATAAACTGTGATTGTACATAAGTTTATAATTCGGTAGAATATAATGATTGGGGCTTGCCTGTTACTATGTTCTCTTGTCTGACTAAGGGTGGGAAGAAGAAATCACATGTTTAGCAGACCAATAGACATGTAGTTTACCTCGCCACTGCTATTGTTTAACTAGAGTCGGTCAGATGTGTAGTTTGCAATGTTGCATAGAATATATTGAGTACTTTGAGTCAAAATTCGATATTATAATCACCAAATGTATTTTTTGAAATAAAAACCAAGTCACTTTCCTTTCACATACTGAAGAATACTATACGTTGCTACGTAACACTATTATATTTAAACCTATAGATGTCATCGGCGTCATTGTACCTTCACAGATAAATAAGGTTCACAAGTAGAATTTTGAATATTAGATCATTAAAGTGCTGGATTGAGGAGTTTGATTTAGAACGTTCCTGATGAAGGGATTTGTGCATTGGGATATGCACATCTGCAGAACCATAGAGCAGTAGTTGTCATTCTCTTAAGCTATTATTTGGAAGATCTGTTCATTTCAGGGTAACGAATGAATATACTTTATGTTCTAAAGGGATTCAGTTGATTCTTTTATCATATAATATGAATTTCTTTTTGAATTACTGTTAATTACATTTCAAAGTCTATATGGTTTAAAATATATATCCAGAATATAAAATACAAATATTCCAGTCAATAAAAAATCCTCCAATCTACTTCAATGATTTGAGATATCAACTCACTGAAGACAATAGTGGAAGGTTGCTCAATTTCGTGGATTGGATGGAGTTAGATGCCGGCTCAGTAGTCTACAGGTTAAGCGGTCACGCGCCAGACTGATATGTCCTGAGTTTGAATCTTGCGAGTCGGGATCGTGGATGTGCACTGCTTAGTCCAACAATGAGACGAAGCAGCCGTCTAGTGCTTCCAAGTTTTCTATGGTGGTCTAGCTTTAATTGACTCATAATTTCAACTATAAGATTACTAAAATCTCCACAAAAATCCCCTCTGATTATTAATTTTATATTTTATATTATATGCTATCTTTCAAATTTATAAGTAGTCATACTACTATTGATGTATTTATGTCTATATCGTCGTTTTATTACATTCTCGAACTAGGAACTGCATCATTTCTAATTAGATCTATCATATATACAGACATTAATGGAACATACTATCAATGGAAATCAGAATTACAGGATGTTCTTTCAACTGACTACATGACATTGGCTACCAATCTTTGCAATCTGGTAAGTGAAATTCATCTTAGTTCTTAATAGGAAATTAAAAAATGCATTGACTTCATAGATTGTAGTTTGGATAAAACATTCAATGCATTAAATCGACCAATAAAGATTCAGTTTTGATCTTATATTGTTTATACTCATTGAATAGATCGCATTGAAATATTTGATCATGACAAAGGAAAAACATTTACACCCAATTAATGTTAGTTAAAGAGCAACGAATTGCACTTTCAAACAAAAGATTTCAATAATGATATGATCAATTACCTTTACTAAACTATCTAGATCAATTTTTCTTAACGTAGTACTTGAAAATTTTAGCAACTGAGTCTACTTCCAATGTAATTATAAGTCATAACATTAAGGTATATGTATATATCATCATCAGTTAGCAGTTGTGGAGATTGTTTACTTTAATTGGAATCGCAAACTTATCTAAGTTAAACAACGACGTCTGTTTTCTATGAGAATGGGACTTCTCACCAACACTTCGAAACAACATCATTACCGGAAATCGAGCCCATAGCCTTCCGTTTCTCACGCAAACGCTTAGCCTATAAACCATTAACCAGATATCTAATAGTTGCCCAACTTATATAGATTCATTAATTCAACAAAATTCAACGATCTCTGAAATTCCATACTGATAATTATCATGAACTCACTAGTGACTGTTTTCGAGAGGAAATTTCCGGAGTTCTTAAACGAAATCTATCATTTCTAGATTTCATGCTTTACAGTTTTCATCTCGAAATTATCAGATAGTTGATGTATCTTGACAGTTATACAAGTAACAGTGATAACCTGGAAAGGTAACCCCAATCTAAGTAATGTCAAAGCCTGAGTAGCCTACACCAACCAGTGTTATCTGTTACGCAGTCATGATTTTAATCCAACTGTTGAAGGTTAGTTTATAAAAGGCATCGATGAAAGCATTACTACTCCATGCCTTGTAGTTACATAAATGCCAAATATTGGCCAGTTACAAATTAGAATAATAAATATACTTTTTTCCTTGCCGGTTTACACATTTTCATATAAATGTGATTCAGCCAATCTACTTACTTTTCTTTTTTTTATGTACAATTTAAGAAACTATTCAATAATTCATTAAATAGGAAATGTGAAATGATATGTGTTAAGATAATATATTGTATATATACATAAGTGACTGTAATGCAACGTATATAGGTGAAACATCAAGGCGACTGAATGTGATGGAACACAAACAATGCTTAAAGTACATTCTTAAGTCCTTAGATGATGTAAGTAAACTTGAGAACAAGTCAGCGATAGCATTACACTTGATAGAATCGGGTCATTTCAAATCACAAATCTCTTACACACTAATACATACACCTAGTTTAGACAATTTTAACGTTGATTGGATGACCTATTCAGTATACTATGAAGCGAAGAACCATGTTCCTATTTATATTCGATAATTTTGATGTTTGATTATAATTCTTTGATAAAGCTTGGACCAGATTGCCAGGCGAAACGTTGGATTAACTTCTAATTCATTCGCTGACATTTTACAAATACATATTCTTCCTATTTTATGTCTTACATCAACTCGGCGCTCAAATACTGTGAAACTATTTGCTCTAATTTACACGAAAGTTCTTATGAAGTACTTAATAATGATTGAGTATTATAGTTGTGGCGAGACTAAACTATACTGCCGAGCCAATCACAAGCTTTCCTGGGTTTTCAAGGTCACGGCGCCAAGTTCGGTACCTGATGCTTACGTACGGTCGGTTTACAACGGATTTTAGAGAAGATATGATAATTCAGAGTCTACAAGAGAAGTGATCATAAGATTTTGGCGCGAAATTCAATTATCCATTTGGATAAATAGAGTTTTGGCATTATAGCTGATGTCAGTTAGTGATGAAAACCCTAAGTATAATTCTTAACCTTAACCATGAACTGTAAATCATATTTTGAATTCTTCACACAGGTTTATGACCCTCATTTGGTCTTAGTTATTATGTTGACACTCTCAGGGTCACTCTAGCGTCGCTCATAGGTCGTCCATAAATTATAGTTTCACCCTTAACCCTAAACCTTGACTCTAACCCTAACCCGTAAACCATACCAATATAACAGCAATATTGAAGCTATGTGGTCGAGGCTAAAAGAATATTTGAGACCTTATCATGGTTTCAGAGGTCGACTACTATGGAGCCATATGTATGTGTTCCTGTATCGTATGCACTACAATTTTAGAACTTCTGAACTTATATCTGACCTTGAGAAGTTTTTGAGTCGTGTAAAAGAATAGTATCCTCTTTAATTTTTGAATTTTGTATTTTATATTTCACTGTATACTAATTGTCTTCTGAGTGGCTAATATTTCTCAAGGTCATTCAAGATTCGTTCAAAGGTCGGCAGTATAGTTTAGTCTCGCCATAATTGTTACTTATTCTCTTTTAGACTATTGAAAGTTCATATCTTGGTGATCCAATAATTACAAAGAATGCAAAATGTTTCAATATTATTTTCCTTCCATTTGATATTACTAATCAACAATTAAGAACAACATCAAATGAAATTGATAATGTAACCATTACTGGTGTTCAAGGGAATGTAAATATAGAATTGATTTCTATTAATGCTTCATTTATTAATGAATCTATATTATATAACATACTAGTTAATGGTTATAATCAATTGAACAAAACATTGAATATATTTGTTATGAATATTGAGATATATCGTAAGTGAAACTATATTTCTGAGATTATACTTTTAAACTGGTATATATATATATTTAGTGATTATTTCCAAACTATAGTTTATTCATGGTGGTGAAGATTTGTAACTCAGTTGGATGATTTGATCGTGCAGTTTGCATCGTTCTTTTGAACGACATCATCAGTACAAACTTCGGATGGAAGTTAAATGTTCGAATTTCTCCACATGTGCTTCATAGCTAGTCCTGTACACCCCGATATTGACTGGTTCTTGTTGACCTTAAATCTGTCACTAATTATTTGTTTGTTTTGGTTGTATCTTCCATTGATTTGATTTTTTTTCCTATGTTTCTGAATAATTTTCCTGATCGGTTGATAAATTGGATTGATTTCAATGTGATTGTTTATTGTTAATTGATCTGAGTGCCAAGCTTCTAAAAATTCTTTGGTGTTTTTAGAATTGCCTCTATCCAAAATCTTCACATCTTTCCAGTCGAATGTGTGTCCGCAGTTATCCGCGTGCATTGATATGAGTGAAGACATGTCATGGCGTTTGACTTCTGACTGATGTTCATGCAGGCGAAGAAGAACAGGGCGTCTGCTTTGAAATCAATCCAATCTATCAATCGATCAGGAAAGTTATTCAGAAACATAGGAACAAAAATCAAATCAGTGGGAGATACAACCAAAACAAACAAATAAACAATGACAGATTTAAGGTCAACAAGAACCAATCAACGTAGAGATGCACAGGACAAGCTAAGAACTACATGTGGAGAAATTTCTTACACTTCACTTCTACACGAAGTTTGTGCTGATGATGTCGTTCAGAAGGACGATGACAGCTCCATGACTAAATCATCCAACTCAGAGAACAAAACTCCATCAAAGTATTTTAGTCATAAATAATATATATCGACATAGATCAATTATTTATAATGAATGAAGTTCCAGTTATTGATTCTGAACTCATTTGTATATAGTTAATAGAGTTAAATATATATAGTCGATCCTTAAAGATTAAGTTGATATGATATAGAATGCAGTTGCAAGCTTTCAAAAACTTGTTGGAAATATCAAAACATGGCAGAAATATTACGAAAAATATCTCGTTAGATCAGATTCTAATAAATAGCTCAGAGAAACACTTAGAGAAATGAAGGGTTACATTTTACAACATATAAACGATTACTTATTGTATTTATTACTTATTGAATTTAAACTTCACCCCATCGCACAAGCAAGTGGCAATCAGGACTCAGTGGCCGAGTGGATAACGCAATGGCGTTTGAAGCCAAGGTACTGGGTTCGAGTTTCAGGGAGAACATCAGCCCTGAGATACAGGTACATCCAGCTGACGAGTCCCAAATGGGACGAAAAGCGCGTCCAGGGTTCGAAGTAAACATTCTGATTGAAAATTGTAACTTTATTCCACTGTTCAGTAATCAAGTAAAAAATAAACTATGAAGAACAAGGAATTAGCTATGAAGTTAATATCAAAGTTTAAAGAATGAAGTGTGAAAGGTATATAGATTAGCGGATAAACTAGTGGAATACATGATGTAGCAGAAACAATATGCGGTGATATGAATGAACATGTAAATATACATTATGAAGTTAATTTGTTCTGGAATTTCTAAAAGAAACATTCAAAATAAAAATGAGTTAGTGCTCAAAAACAAGAAAAAATCATTCAGAAGGAGAAAAGTAGGTACAATGACAAAAATCATGAAAAGAAAAAGAAAAACACAGAAAGCGAAAAAAGAAAATATCAAAAATCCAAAAAACGAATGACTAAATACTTCACCAAAACAATCAACGATAAATTAGTGAAAAAATTATTTGATTACAAATAATAGGTATCCCGCTGGATCACACAACCGAGTCGTCATCCACTTGGCAAACCACCACGCACATTCCGTCCGAAGTGTCCAGTCAACCACCTGAATCGACAACATCAACTACTACTCCAACTCAACCACACACCGATTCATCAATGGTCACTAGTGAGTTCAATGCATAATTTGTTTGTTGTATTGCATGATGTATTAGTGGTGTGATTTCACCCCAGTGTAATGCTCATCATCCTCATTCAACTACTAGTAGATTTTGTCTATGGTGAGAATTTGTGTAGACGAGATGTGTGCATGGATTGTGCGTGATGGTCGGTGTGGCTAACATTCACAAAAAGTGAGAGTGAGTGATTGGTTGATTGAGTGAAGAGGTTGTGATAATTAGTGGGTAGTATTTGTGAGTAGAATTTGTGGTAATATTTATTTTGTTTGATTGGAATAGTGAGTGTTGGTAATCATTGGGACGACATGTGTTGTGTGTACAAATGGATTGGTTGGTTGATCATGGTTGGAGATGATGAGTGGATGAATTGAGATATGGTGTTGTTGATGGTGAGTTGACTGGTGTGTGTCATATCAACACACCACGTCTCAACACTCACCTCATTCAATTGATCATCATCATCATGTAATATATACGTATGTATGCCTTCGCTAATTGTTATAAACGTAAAGGAGAGGATGCTGGTATAAAAGTAGGGGTTCTTGTTATAACAGTCCTTTTACTTCTTACACGTATGTGGGACGTTAATTTATCTTAGACGAATATCTACACTAGATTCCTACCCAGAGTCTATTCTACAGGACTTCAACAGAACTCAGAACAAGAACACAATATTAGCCTGACTATAACGTCAATATATTTCACACCAAAATCCGACAAATGGAACAGTCAATAAGTCCATACATAATAAGGATAGGGAAATATACTTAACACATAACACCTGTCATCCCCTCTAATGTCTGAATCATCGAGACAACCAATCATTGACATTCTCGCCCACACATCCCCTCCCTCGCGAAGTTTGATCGTATGATTTCACTTTAGGGTCTATTTGAAAAAATTTCGTTTGTTTCCGTTTCCTGAATGACCTTCGTCTAACCTCTGATTCTAGATCATTTTTTCTCATTTCAACTTGTGGTGGTGGTGGTGTAATATCAAATGTATCACATAAAACTGCCATTGGTAATGGTTTGAGTTTAGATGACTCATAAACACATTTTCTATCTCGCAGTTGATTTACATGTCTAATAATTAGTGTATTTTCGACCATCACTTCATATAATACTGTACCACGTCGTTTTTTTATAAACACAAATATCCATTTTGGCTTGCCAGGTCGGAAATCCCGTGCATAGACTGAGTCACCTACTTTGAATTCTCGAATTTTCAGGCAATTCCCTTTGTTATTTTTTTGTAGTCCACTGATTCTGTCTTTCGGGTTCAAAACATCAAAAAATGTTCTAATCGGTCGGCCAAACATTATTTCGGCTGGAGATTTCCCATCTTGACAGTTTGGACTTGACGTAATTCTATAAGAAATGAGAAATTGTTGCAGAGCCTCTTCTACGTTGCCTTCTCCTCCCATCTTTAAGAGAGCTCGTTTGAGAATATCAACAAATTTCTCTGCCTGCCCGTTCGACTTAGGTTGATACGGTGGAGTTCTAACGTGTTCGATTCCATTCTGTTTACAGAATTCCGCAAACTCTAACGACGTGAACTGCGTTCCGTTATCTGAAACCAAAACATTAGGTGTACCAAACCTACCAAATAGTTGTCTCAGATGTAGCAGTGTTTCAGACGTAGATGGTCTTCGTTCCACATAAATTTCAGTCCATTTTGAGTATGAATCAACCACCACCAAAAAATATTGTCCACTTATTGGTCCAGCATAATCAACATGTAGTCGGACCCAAGGTTTTTTCGTTTCAGGCCATGACTGGGATTCTGCTTTCGGCACATTCAACGGTAAATCCCACAAACCAAATTTATCAATCCAATCAATACCTAATAGATTGGTATTACAGTTCCCGGATACGTAACATTTCCCGGTCATAGTCTTTTCACCTAGTGTGAGAGGTAGCTGTATTACTCCAAGAAGAGTAATATTAGTTCCTGATGCACTCTTGGCATTATAACATGTAGGTTGATATCGGGGTCGACCGATTTTAATCCAAGTTTCTCTAGAAATTAATGTTATGTCAGACCCAGTATCGACTTGTAGTTTGACCGGTTTGCCATTGAAAAAAATGGTTACATACTTCCTTTTAGAGGAGAAAGGCTCACTTTTTGTAGCCAGAACAACATTTGAGTTATGCGGCATTACTTTTGCAGTCTGCATCTTATTTCGTTTACGGGACTTATGCTGACGGTCAGAAACCTTCGGCCTACTTTTACAACATACTTGAGCATGACCATATTTACCACATTAAAAGCAAACTCGTTTTTTAAAGTAACAAACTTTGGCAGAATGAGACTTACGACATCGCCAACATGACGTTTTGTGTTTCACTTGATTTGAGATTTTCTGGGAGTTCGAATCTTTATTTCCATAAAAAAAAGATTTACGTAAAGCTTTGACTCCAAAGTGTTCACTGTTCCTTTCTACAAGATCCGTGTCATGCTTCAAATTAATCATTCTTTGACACTCTTCAGATACTGATTGTAGACTGATATTAGGATCTTGTTCGATTCTCGCTAGAATCCGTGCTCTAATATCTGCATCAAGTGGAGATTGTAATCCACATACAAAAATAAGGCACTTGAATTGATCTGAGGACATTTCTGGTAAACGCAACCGCTCACATTCCCGGTTTACGATACTTGCATAGGTTACGTAATCGTCCTGTACTTTCTTTACGAGTTGAAGACACTGATATCTAGTGTGAAAAATTGATCACAGTTTACCGAATACACGAGTCAGGCATTCAACTGTTTCTTTGAACGTTATGTCGGATGGCTTCTTTGGGAGGATAAAATTACAGAATTTTTCATGTTCGGACACTCCGAGCTTTCGTAACAATAATCTCAATTTCGAACTTTCGTCCCACTCTTTACATACATTAATAAATAAATCCTCTTGGCGTTTAAACCACGCCTTAGAAGTAACTCCACTTTCTGGATAAAATCTGATTTCAGCTATTGAATAAGCAATAGAATCCGGAGTAATAGTGGAATTAGACACATCAGTTTATGAGGATATCGACATATTTTTGACTAATAATTACATAAGAGTATTTTGCTGTTGCAATAAGGTTTTCAGATCATCCATTTTCTTGATACAAAATTCACTTTAACTGAATACGTAAGCGTAGATCTGTTTTAATCACCGTCGCCAATAATATAAACGTATATATGCCGTCGCTAATTGTTATAAACGTAAAGGAGAGGATGCTGGTATAAAAGTAGGGGTTCTTGTTATAACAGTCCTTTTACTTCTTACACGTATGTGGGACGTTAATTTATCTTAGACGAATATCTACACTAGATTCCTACCCAGAGTCTATTCTACAGGACTTCAACAGAACTCAGAACAAGAACACAATATTAGCCTGACTATAACGTCAATATATTTCACACCAAAATCCGACAAATGGAACAGTCAATAAGTCCATACATAATAAGGATAGGGAAATATACTTAAAACATAACACCTGTCATCCCCTCTAATGTCTGAATCATCGAGACAACCAATCATTGACATTCTCGCCCACACACCATCATCATCATCATAATCATCTTCAACTTCAACATCATCATGATCACACGAAAACAATTGCAGTACTCACTTGTTGTGTAGGTGAACACGAACTCCTACACTCACTTGCATGTGAGCATGTGTTCTCATTCAAATCTAATGTATCAGACGAATCATGAACGAGTGGTTCATTGAAATGTATGCTTCGAGGTAGGTGTTCGTCACAAAGTGACATGGTGTGGTGTGATGCTGACAAACACGTGTTGTGTGCATGGAGAATTGGAAGAGGAAATGACATTCAGTGTGTGTGTGTGTGTGTTTTGCTTGTGTTTGAAATCGAGTGTTATTTTGAATGTGTGTGAGTGTGCTTGTGTTGACCAGTCGGATAGGAATGTGTGCACTTCTTGCATTTGTCCACACAATATTAACCAA